ACACTCCAGCCTGGGCAACAGAGTGAGACCAGAACCACAACTCTGGGTTCTGGAGCAGAGCTGGGTGGTCAGTCATGAGCCCTGTGTGCCCTCCCACCCATAGAGGCCACCTGGAACTGAAGAGCACTAGAATTTGTGGCTGCAAGAGGGGACGTCATCCACTCAGCGCTCCACTCGCCACGCCCCTAGTCAGTGGCCATTAGGGTCTGTCATCACTGGGATTTTCACTTAACTGCTGATCCGTTTCCTCGCTTGGCTTGGTCACTGGCAGAGGAACAGGGTAATTACTGGGGTTGGTCGGGCCCTTTTTAATTCTCTATGAGAAGATTGGAAACTGAATTCCAAAACTGAAGATAATTCAACCTTTCAGCTTTGTGGTTATGCTCTAAGTACAACGTATTTTGTTAGTAAGATTTCGAGACTTGATTCCAAAATGACCTAGCCTATTGTTTTCCTCATTTAATGAAAACCAAGAGAATAATTCAGCAGGCCGGTCAATCACATGCAGATATCTGCAGTCAATGTGCTGCCCTTTTCTAGCCCCCCTGACTCCCTATTGCTCAGGTCACCATAAAACTCCAGACGGGGCTGCAACCCCATTCTTAACACCTACAGCTATCACGGCCTTTTTTTCACTCTAACAAAAGGAATAAAAGCTGATGATGGTCCTGGCAGGGATATAGTTTTTTATCCTCAGTGAGTCTGTGTTCCTGTGACAGAAAATGGCTGACTCTGCCCTATCTCCGAGGAGCGAATGTGCACATTAGCAAACCACCAGCATAGCTGCCTTCTCTCCAGGAGGCCACCGCAGAGGAAACCAAGTTTGCATTGGCAACGAATGGAAAAATACCTCCTATGTGTATATGTACACATGTAGCCATCCGGGTATGAAATGGAGATGAGGATAGGGGAGGCGTGGAGGAAGCAGCAAAAGGGATGGGGGCAAAATGTGTGAGTCGAAGGACCTCTGACGGTGACTGTGATGCTGTGTATATACATGTCACCATGTGGATGTGCTTCTGTGCATGTGGGGGGTTTCGATCTGTAATGTGAGCGTATGAGAACCAATAAAAAGTACAGCACTAAATACATTCTCCGCATATTCAACAAGGGCACTGGTTCTCAAATTTGGCAGCACCTTGAAATCATCTGGGAAGCTTCAAAAACTACTGATGCTTTGGCCCCACCCTGGAGGTTGTGATTCACTTGGTATAAATTACTGTGGTAGGCCGGGCGCAGTGGCTCATGCCTGTAATCCCAGCATTTTGGGAGGCTGAGGCGGGTGGATCACCTGAGGTCAGGAGTTTGAAAACAGCCTGGCCAACAGGATGAAACCTCGTCACTACTAAAAATACAAAATTAGCCGGGCGTGGTGGCGGGCGCTTCTAATCCCAGCTACTTAGGAGGCTGAGTCAGGAGAATCGCTTGAACCCGGGAGGTGGAGGTTGCAATGAGCTGAGATCACACCACTGCACTCCAGCCTGGGCAACAAGGGCGAAACTCCGTCTTAAAAAAAAAAAAAAAAAAAAAAAAATTACTGTGGTAGACAGAACAATGGCTCCCTAAAGATGTCCAGATCGTAGTCCCTGGTGTCTGTGAATATGTTAGGTTAAATGGCAAAGGAGCCATTAAGCTTGTAGAAGGAATACGGGGTGCTCATCAGCTGACCTCAAAATGGGGAGGTGATCCTGGATTATCTGGGTGGGCCCAATGTCATCACAGGGGTCCTTAAAAGTAAAAGAAGGAGGTAGCAGTCAGAGGTAGAAGTGATGCCATATGAGAAGGACTCAACCTATTGTTGTCTCTGAAAACGGAGGAAGGGGTCATGGGCCAAGGCATGTGGCTGGACCTCTCAAAGATGGAAAATCAAAAGACATGAATTCTCCCCTACATCGTCCAGAAGGAACAGCCACCCTGCCCATGCCTTAATTTTAGCCCAGTGTGACTCACATCAAACTTCTGGCCCACAGAACTGTAAGACATTAACAGCGTGAGTGTGTGTGTGTGTGTGTGTGTGTGTGGTGAGACAGAGTCTCGCTCAGTCACCCAAGGTAGAGTGCAGTGGTGTGATCTCAGCTCACTGCAACCTCTGCCTCCTGGGTTCAAGCCATTCTCCTGCCTCAGCCACCTGAGTAGCTGGGACTACAGACACCCACCACCACACCCGGCTAATTTTTGTATGTTTAATAGAGGTGGGGTTTCACCACATTGGCTAGGCTGGTCTCAAACTCCTGACCTCAAATGATCCACCCACCTCGGCCTCCCAAAGTGGTTGGGATTACAGGCGCGAGCCACTGCACCCAGCCTTGCGTTGTTTTAAGCCACAAAACTGGTGGTAATTTGTTACAACAGCAATAGGAAACTAACATACTTCAACCTGAGGAAGCTAATTTTACAAATCAAATTTAAAAAATGAAAACAACAACAACAAAAAACTAACACAGGTATGGCCTGGTCTCTCAGAGTTTTAAAAGCACCCCAGATGATTCTAATATGTAGCAAAGTATGATAATGACTAAACCAGAGGAAAGACAAGATAAAGACGTGTGGCGTGATTGCCTTGTGCTGGACAAAGAAACAGTGCTTTCATCTGGGAACTTAGTAAATCATCCCACCAAATTACGCACCATCACTTGTTAGCCATCCACCCACAGGCACTGCAGCTTACCTGCACGTATATCACAATACATGATCATCAGTTTGGTGGCCAGAGCCCTATCTAGTCTCACCCACTGAATAGGCTAAATTTCCTTGGGATGAGGAACAATTGCATATCAGATAGGCAGATTTTCTATAAAGCTTACTTTCCTTTATTTTTCTTTTTTTGAAATGGAGTCTTTTGCCCAGGCTGGAGCGCAGTAGCATGATCTCGGCTCACTGCAACCTCTGCCTTTTGGGTTCAAGCAATTCTCCTGCCTCAGCCTCCCGAGTAACGGGGATTACAAGCACACACCACCATGCCCGGCTAATTTTTTGGTATCTTTAGTAGAGACGGGGTTTCACATGTTGGCCAGGCTGCTCTCAAACTCCTGACCTCGTGATCCACCCGCCTCGGCCTCCCAAAGTGCTGGGATTACAGGAATGAGCCACTGTGCCTGGCCTATAAAGCTTACTTTCTTATCAATACTATCACTTAAGGAACTGACCAATAACTGAATTATATGCAAATACATAAATTGGCCTGTTCATGTTGGTACCATCAGGACAAGAACTAAGTTGTCCTCTCTGTGCTGAAACTATTAGAATTGTAAAGAGAGAAGGCTTCTCCATTGGGTTTAGTAACCTATTTATTTATGACATGATAAACAGATGGAATTGATTTATGACAGATAAATGGAACAGCACTGTGGGAATAAACTAACTTATTCTTCCCAAGGATGGAGAACAGAAGTGCCTGCTGTAGGATTCTGAGAAGTGCAGCCCTCTCCTCAGAGCGGGTGTTCATCTATCCCCAGGGCTTCGATGCTTGCTCATACATGATGATAACTTCTCTTTGAGATGGAGTCATGCTCTGTCACCCAGGCTGGAGTGCAATGGTGCAATCTCGGCTCACCACAACCTCCACGTCCTGGGTTCTAGCAATTCTCCTGCCTCAGCCTCCCAAGTAGCTGGGATTACAGGCGCACACCACCACACCCAGCTAATTTTTCGTATTTTTAATAGAGATGGGGTTTCACCGTGTTGGCCAGGCTGGTCTCGAACTCCTGATCTTGTGATCCACCTGCCTTGGTCTCCCAAAGTGTTGGAATTACAGGCATGAGCCACTGCGCCCACCTGATAACCTTTCTTGAAAGCCATTCCATCATGGTAGTATTACTAAAAGCTAAAACCTTAGATGGAATCTTTTACCTTTTCTTTTTCTCTTCCTACTTTGTCTTCTTTAGAGAGGAAGCTGGTTTAGCAGCAAAAGCAGTCACGTTAGAATCAGAAGACGTGAGCTGGAGTTTAGCTCTGTCACTCACAAATGATGTGGCCTCAGGGGGCCCAAAGCCACTCTGAGTTTTGCCTCTCACACGTGAGGAGGGTGCCGCCTTCGTGATGTTGTATGGAGATTAAATGAAATGACACAGATGAAAGCGCTTAGCACATAGTGGAGGCTTTCCGTAAATGCCAGCTTCACTGCCACTCAACGACTCCACGCTGTCACACGTCACCTCTACCCTACAGCTGCTCCCATCTCTTCTCTTTGGCTCCGCCCTCCCCCTGAGCTCTGGTACATCTCCCACTGCCAACCGGACACCTCCACTCGGATCTCTCGCCGGCATCTCTAATTAGACACATGCAAATCGGACTTACCATCTTACCCCCAAACCAGTGTCTCCTCTCAAGTTCCCTGACTTCGTCCCTAACAGTAAAATCACTGGCAATCCCGTGCACCCATATTTCTTCCCCATTCCCACTCCTACAACCTATCCAGGCCCTCCTCAAGCACAAGAGCCTTGCAGATGCCTCCACATCTTAAACTCTCTCCAATCCATCCTGCTTGCAGTTTGCAAATTCAGATTTTTCCAACCAGACTTGTCACATCAAACACTGAACAAAGATATTCAAACCCTTTTCTGCCCTGAAGCCTGGTACACAGGATCGAAGAAGAGCAAACCCCACCGGGTGTGGGGATGATATGAGGCCCACACAGCCTCAGTGTACAAAGTGCTGAGCAACTGCGTATCACTGCCACATAAAAGAAAAGCTCTTGGGATGAATGGATCATAAAACACAGTATTGTTAAAAGTAGCTACTGAGAACGGAAAACTTTTTAACCAAATTTCTTTGCATAGTATTTAACAACTACAATCTAAATCTGCCACAACCCCCATTCCAATGCATTAAACTGTAACAATCATTGACAAACCACTTTACATGTGAGTATATGTGCTCACATATTATACATGTGAGTATATGTACATGAATGAGTATAATATTAAACTCATTCAACGAATGCTCAAGCCTTTAGCATTTATGTCAACGGAAAATCGGGTCAATCTCAGACTTATTCTTACCATTTTGTTCATCCAATTCATTCCCAATTTCCTGTCCCATTTGTTTTTGGCGACTTATGATGGAAGAAAGGGCATCAAGGCCTGCGTCCTGTTCTGAAAGAAAAAAGAAAAACAACTAACTAGAAACTAGAAGAAAACAACTTAAAATCCATAAGTATACCCAGGCATGTAACACAACTTAATATATAAATCAGTCAGGAAAAAAGAGATAAAAGAGTTAACATTACTTGAACAAAATTTAAAAATTAAACACCTACCTGACACCTTAAACTAAACTGCTTTCCAAAAGAATTAAGATTTTAAATATGAAAAACAAAGTAAGATCTGGAAACATGAACACTTAAACTTTCTGACACTTAATATATAAAGAGCATGTACAAATCAATAAGAAAAAGACTAAATATCCCAATTTATTTATTATTTATTATTATTATTATTATTTTTTGAGACGTAGTCTCTGTCGCCCAGGCTGGAGTGCAGTGGCGTGATCTTGGCTCACTGGAAGCTCCGCCTCCCGGGTTCACACCATTCTCCTGCCTCAGCTCCCCAAGTAGCTGGGACTACAGGCGCCCGCCACCACGCCCGGCTAATTTTTTGTATTTTTAGTAGAGACGGGGTTTCACCGTGGTCTCAATCTCCTGACCTCATGATCCACCTGCCTCGGCCTCCCAAAGTGCTGGGATTACAGGCGTGAGCCACAGCGCCTAGCATATCCCAATTTTTTAATCAGTAGAGGATACAGGCAAGAACTTCACAATATAAAAGAAAATGAACAAATAAAAGTTTTGAAATCGCTACTAATTTTTTTAAAAAACAAAAAACAACTTCCTTTGGCTTATCAGATTTATAAGGATTAGAAAGAATGACAATATCTAAGCTTAATTAAATTGTGACTATCTAGAAGCTCCCAAATACTACATAATAGGTGAGTAAGTTTTACTGATGGCCGTATTTCTCAAGTGTAGACTGTGACCACCTTTTTACCTGCCAATTCTAAGTCTAGGAATGTATGTAAGAAAACATTCAGATAGCATGCAATGATAGATATACAAGGATATTCCCTGAAACATTTGTTTCCTGTGCCAGGTATCAACTTAGTGCCTCTCAGCTCCAAATTCACTCTCTTTGGCTGTTCTATGAAAAGGAACAAGCTGGGCACCGTGGCTCATGTAATCCCAGACACTTTGGGAAGCCAAGGCAGGAGGTTCACTTGAAGCCAGGAGTTCAAAACCATCCTGGGTCAAAAGTAAGACCTCACCTCTAGAAAATTTTCTTAAAATAATTAGCCAGGCAGCTGGGTGTGGTGGCTCATGCCTTTAATCCCAGCACTTTGGGAGGCTGAGGTGGGCAGATCACGAGCTCAGGAGATCGAGACCATCCTGGCTAACACAGTGAAGCCCCGTCTCTACTAAAAATACAAAAAAAATTAGCCGGGCCTGGTGGCGGGCGCCTGTAGTCCCAGATACTGGGGAGGCTGAGGCAGAAGAATGGCGTGAACCCGCGAGGCGGAGCTTGCGGTGAGCTGAGATTGCACCACTGCACTCCAGCCTGGGTGAGAGAGTGAGACTCCATCTCAAAAATAAATAAATTAATTAATTAATTGGACAGGTACGACGGCATGTACTTGTAGTGTCAGCTACTTGGGACGCTGAGGTGAGATCATCCAGGAGTTCGAGGCTGCAGTGAGCCATGATCACGCCACTGCACCCCAGCCTGGGTGATAGAGGGAGGCTCTGTCTCTACATAAAAAATAAAAATAATTTAAAAAAATTTTTAAAAAGAAAATGAACCAAGGCCCCTTGAAGATTTTTTTCCTTTGTCAGAGTTTTTGCTTCCTGGCTCCAGCCTGCTCTCTTGGCAGGCTCCTTTAGCAACTGCAGCTCCTTCAGTGCCTGGCCCCTTCAGTGCACAGTGGCCAGCAACACCCGGAACCAGCAACTTCTCCCAGCACACACCCTCCTGGGGCAGGTTTATAACAGAGGCGCCTCCACGGAGGTTCTTCCCCATGAAGAGTTGCCCCCAGCATCCCAGAGGGCAGATCTCCAGGAGGTTCTGATAGCAGGGCACCCCTGGGGCTTCCGTGAAATTCAGGGACCCTCAGCTGAGCCCTCTCTCAGCCCTGGGGGCCTGGGGCTCCTCCCTGGACACTCTGTCTCAGGCTGAGACTTGGTGACTGCAGCTTATCCCTGCTAGTTCTGTATTCTTCAGAGTTATTCTGACCTCTTGTTAGCTAATACCTCATTACTCTAATCTCTGTTATAGTTAACAATTTACATTCAACTTTCCCTGTCAAGTTTCTCTCTCCCGATTAGACCCAGAGTGATATATTTATAACAGTGAAAAATTAGAAAGTACCTAAATGCCCAACAGAGATTTGTTTAAAAATGTATAGTATATCCATATAGTAAAACACTATACAGCCATTGAAAATCACATCGTTTATATATATTTTGATGTTGAAAGAAGTTCATATGTTCTTAAGTAGAAAAGCAGGAAGCTGGGCGCAATGGCTCACGCCTGCAATCCCAGCACTTTAGGGGGCTGAAGCGGGCAGATCACTTGAGCCCAGGAGTTTGAGACCAGACTGGGCAACAATGTCTATCTCTACTAAAAATACAAAAATTATCTGGGTGTGGTGACATGTGCCTATAGTCCCCGCTACTCAGAGAAGAATGGATCACTTGAGTGTGGGAGGTAGAGGTCACAGTGAGCCGAGATCGCGCCACTGCACTCCAGCCTGGGTAACAGAGTGAGAACCTGTCTCAAAAAAAAAAAAGATACAAAACAAAGTATAGTAAAACAGCTTTTGTTTTAAAAATGAAAATGTATTACTTTGAAACTTTCTGCAAATTTAAAGAGCAAAGTGAGTTTTTGGAAATTTAAAGAAAAAGGTGAGTTTAACTCAAGTCACTCAAGATCTTTTCTTTAAAATTTAATATGTATTTTTTTAACTGAGGGTCTCGGTCGTCTCTTCGTAAAAATTTTCTTCCTCTAATTTCAGGTGCTTTGAGAACACTGTGACGCTGAGTGTAATGACTCTTGTTCACCACGCAACACGCCACATGAAGGTAACATTATACCCCTCGCAGCTTCATTTGTCTACAGGGTTTTTGAAATGACTGTTTCACATAAAGGCATATCTACAAAAGCAGAAATCACAAAGGTCTTACTCAAGGTTGCATTAACATTTACTTATATTTTTTTCCAAGTCTTTTTATGGAATTAAACCATTAAACTTAGCTCTTTAATTCATCTGGAATTTATTTAAACTAACGGTGTGAGGTAAGAACCCCTTCGTGACATTGTTTGACACTCTGAACTTTTTTTAACTATACAAATAACCTGCCGTCTTTAGGGATCATTCAAAAGGACCATTTTATAGTAAAATCACTTTATAATGAGGTCCTCTTGGTCTTTAATAACAACCTCCTGGATGGCCTCCAAGATAAATCCATCCTCAACCAAGTGCTCCTACAGGATGACTGATGTTATAGTAAAATTCTAAATGCATCTGATGAATAATCTATATATATAGGACCGAGGGTCAAGTGTCAATGTGGATTAAAAGATAAAACCATTTAAAAAGAGGAAAGGAGATTCCTCCAGTTTCCATTAGGAAAAGAGTCATTAAACTCCTAAAATTGCTTTATTTAGTAGAGACATAGATGATGAATGAAAAATACACTAATAACACTCTTTAATCTCAAACTTGACTCATTATCTGACTTAGCAACCTGATGATCATCTACTACACAGGAGAAAGAGAGCTGAAAGTTCTGTTCCACTCTAATAATTTTTAGAAGCTTAGCAATTCTCTCCACATCTTTAAGTGCTGCAATAAATTTTCATTTCACAATCCAAAGACACAGAAGATTCAGATAATCAATATGCTGCAGAGGTAATAATAATCACTTTCACAACCTGGGCTTCCCCAAGTCCTGAAGAGGCATTTCTAACGGGAGGTGGTATGGCTATCTTGGAGACAAGGATCAAAATACAATGCTGCTGACTGCAAAAATATAAATAATCAAGAACCATGCATGGGCATGGTGGTGTGCGCCTGTAGTCTCAGCTATTCGGGAAGCTAAGACAGGAGGACTACTTGAGCCCAGAAGATCAAGTCCAGCCTGGGCAATACAGCAAGATGCCTGTCTCAAAAAGAAAAAAAGAAGAAGAAACCATACCACGTAGTTTCTTTTTTCTTTGAGACAGAGTTTCGCTCTTGTTGCCCAGGCTGGAGTACAATAGCATGATCTCGGCCCACTGTAAGCTCCACCTTCCAGGTTCACGCAATTCTCCTGTCTCAGTCTCCCCCGGTGGCTGGGATTACAGGCGTCCGCCACCACGCCTAGCAAATTTTTGTAATTTTAGTCAAGATGAGGTTTTGTCATGTTGGCCAGGCTGGTCTCGAACTCCTGACCTCAGGTGATCCACCCGCCTCGGCCTCCCAAAGTGCTGGGATTACAGGTGTGAGCCACCACGCCCGGCCACCATGTAGTTTCTTACCAACAAAATTACCATCATGTCATAACTGCTAAAATCTGCCCTACTCTTTCACATAATCCAAGTCACTATGATATCACAAGAGGATACTCTATTAGTCATTATTCTATCTTACAATGATTTGAATTTTTAAAAATGATGGATCATTGTTACAGATAGAATAATATCACCCATGTCTAAGATGTCCACGTCCTAATCCCTGGATCCTATGAATATATTCCCTCACACGGCAAAAGGGACTTTGCAGATGTAATTAAGGTGGAAGAATCTGAGGTGGGGGAGTAGCCGGCATCATCCAGGTGGACCCAACATAATCACATGAGTCCTGAAAAGCAGAGAACCTTTCCCGGCTGCTGTCAGAGGGAGCATGAAGAAGGGTCAGAGAGAGAGAACTCACTGGCTTTGAAGATGGAAGAAGGGATGTGGGAGGCCTCTAGAAGCTAGACAAAGGGAATGAATTCTCCAGAACGAGCCTCCAGAAAGGAATCAAGCTAACAGCTTGATCTGAGCCCTGTGGGACCCGCATTGGACTTAAAATGGGTTTTAAGTCACTAAGTTTGTGCTAATTTATTAAAGCAGCAATAGAAAAC